CAGTTTGCAGATCCTTTGTCAGTGTCAGCCATGTGGATGAGTCACGGCCATTGCTTGACCAATTTGCTCTCTGTGAAAGCCTGAGAGAAAGTTTTCTCTCCTTCTCTCCATGTGACTCTCCCTAGGCACACTCTACATCATCGATCACTTTCCACTGTGGCTCCATATAGCAGGACCATCCTATGATATTTATTCTTCAGTTTTAGAGAACACGAACTCATCCAGGTATGTTTCAGGTCGAAAGATCATTTTTCCCCTATATCATTACGAGCAACTGTGTCATGAAATCAGAACACTGTCTCACCAAAACAATAACAAAAGTAACCAGACTGATTTAGGCCTTTCATTCATTCAACTACTAGCTTGAAGCAACAAACCAGTCTACAAAATAGCAGACCCAATTAGATATTCACTCAAATGTTTCAAACTCAATTCAGGTTATTTTCACTGAAAAATAAAAAAATGAAGAAATAATACACTTGTCACTTTTGCAAGCCATGTAAGATACTTATTCATTATAAAACACTTAGGTGGAAAATGACAGCTTTATGTTTAAAAGCATCTTTTTAAAAAAAGCATCAGAATTTAACATTTTTCTTGGCTTTCTATCATTTTACTGCAATCTGTACTTACTGGCAGAATGGCAACTTTGGCATGAGTTTCTTTGGTGTTTTCTTTCATTATTATTATTGTTTCTTGCAGGACATAATCTTCATTCTCAGTAGCTTGATTGTTGATGTGCAGTAAGAAGTTAGGTTTGGCTGTCAAGTGAATAGCAATGTCCCCAAATAGTCCTTTTTCTCGAACAATTTCTAAGTGAAGAACGGTGGCGTTCTCTGTGAGATAAACATGCCCCAGTAAGTAAGTGCTTCTGTTTGCTGTCAGTGCTGTTCCAAACTCCTGCAGGATGCTCTGCACTACCCTTTCAGAGTGAGGAGTGAGGGTCAATGACAACGCGCATGCCCAAGGGATGTTCTCCGCTTCCTCTGCCCCGTCCCACAAACTGGGCTGAGAACCACCAACTGCTGCCAGCCTCAGATCTCACGTAAGCCCCTGGGTGCCGGCTCTGCAGGCCCCTCAGGCGTACACGTCACACACTATGACTAAAACTGCAAAAGTCTCAGGGCAGCGCCTCCATGATGGTGGCAGACAGGTGACAGTGACACAGGCTCAGGTGATCCTTTGAAAATGGGTAATTAGATACACTGTCACTGTTTAATGAGCAGTCATTAGGAAAAGTGGTCTTGTCACAGGCATACTGAAATGCCTATCACAAGGTTAAAAGTGTTCCAGAGCAATACATCATTATTCTATTTCTTAATTTTTTTTTTAAAGAATTTAGTGTTTTGGATAAAATGAAACTTTTAAAAATCCTTGTCAATGTTCTTTACTGGTCTATCATTTTCTGATAATTTAATATTGTGTCTTCATTTCCAGAAAACACCGTGTCATTCCTCACAGTGACTGTGTTTCAGACATGTTTCATGAACAACAACAAAAAATTGACAGATCATTTGTTGTACATAAGTCTACTGCTTCTGTTCTATATTTACATATATCAAGTCCTAGAAGCAAAACTCCAGAACATTTTTTTCTATCGGTTCTTTAAATGAAAGGTATTTGAAAGCTGGATATTACCTGAAGGCTTTAGAAGCTTCACATAATGTATTCAAAACATAAAATCATACAGAACCTTTTCTTTAAGTAAAATGACCTTTATCTTCAAAAATTTGTATTGCTTATGATACACAGTAATCATTGAAAATATATATGGAGAAAATCTGATTGAGGGAGAAGAAAGTATTAAAATAAAAAAAAAAAAGAGATCGAGGTTGGTGTTTGCAGAATCGCTGCAACAAGCTCGCGCTGCTCCTCGCCTTTAGGTGCTCTTCGCCCCTGAAGGCAAAGCACGTGTCATTTCTGAGCTGAATGATGGCAGCACCACAGAAGAAAGAATGTGGAAAG